ACCAGCCAATCATGTCCTTGCGGATGCGTAACGTGATAGCACCCACAGAGAAGAAATCGTAAACCGTACACACCATAGCCACCCATTTTTCTCGTCAACGACAAGATTTGGCTTCTCTTCGGCATCGTTCTCGAATTTCATTCCTACGCCTTCTTAGATGTTTCCTGTCAAGATCTTACAAGATCCTAAATCTCTAGGATTGTGCCCAGATTTATGCAAGATCCTGAAGATCTCTGGCCCTATCCTCTTATTAAGAACTACACAAGAAACCAGCAGGATTTGGTCAAGATCTAAAAATTTCCTAACACTAAGAATACATCAAGAAATATTGAAGCTCCTGCGCAAGATCCTATCAAGATTCCGTTCATCATTTATCAGACCAAAGTTCTTTCAAGATCCTATAAGATCTTGCTTAGATAAAACGGTATAAGATACTCTAGGATCTATATTGCGGTTTTAGTCTTTTTCTTACTACACAACGCGGAACACGACACTTTGTCGTTCAGAAAATGTCATTGTTTGCTGACTTTTTTTATCAACGTTTGTGCTAGTCCTATGTTGTTGCTATCTCGTATCTCCTCGACAACTTGTTTGCATTTTGTCTTCTACAAAATAAATCATTTTTTCCTGGCTATTGTGGATGTGTACGGTTTACGATTTCTTCTCTGTGGCTGCTATCACGTTACGCATCCGCAAAGACATAATTGTCTCGTTTCTTACTCTTACACTAATGCTCTCAATTTAGTGGTCAGAACTACTATGATAGGTATACATACAAAAATAAACAAGTACCTGAATCGATGCTTCCTAGATTTTGAGAGGGCTTTGCTGGATTTAGAGAAATAGCTGCTTCCAATTTCTACAGATTTTAACAAACAACCTTCGTTAACACCCTGAATATGGTTAAAATCAGGTAATTGTTACAGGTATTAATCACACTACAGAACTATTTATATAACGGTTCTTTCGGTTTGTACATGCTGATCGACAAATCACACGGACTATACAAAAAAACTCGAAGTTATTTCGCGAAAAATATCTTTTTCAGAGGAAAAATGTCGTGTATCACGAAAATACATCTTGAGAAAATCTTACAAGCATTACTCTGTTTCATATGAGTACATAGTCTTCATCTCATTGCACTGTATTCTCTTTGAATAAAACAAGAATTAGCCTGCGCTCAAGTCATTGTGCAACTGAATCACGTGTAAAACCACTCAGCTCGGGATGAAAAAAGAAATCTGCTTAATCTCTCTTTATTCATTTTTCATTTCTGCTTGTTGACGAAAAAATGCTTCATGCATTTGTCTTTGAAATTGAATAAGTTCCGCGGGAAAAAATCCACTACTGTCGGAAGACTCCTCGGAGCGAAAAAGAAATCTTATCAATCTTTCTTTATTCATTTTCCATTTCGCTTTGTTTGGGTAGAAGGTTTTGGGTTAGACACGGAATGTTCTGAGCGAAAGCGTTTCTCTTTACTTTGTGGAGGTAACCTATTTCTCGTAGAATGGGGGTACCGTCCAGCCCTTGAATCACCTGGTCTGCACAGGAGAGAAAAGGCACATTACTATATCGTATTTGTCTAAAGCGTCTATCGTCAAAATGAAGTAAGTGTGTTCAGATCCGTCTCATCGAACTTATGACAGAAAGAAATCCTCGCAAGATCCTAAATAGAATTTGCATAGCTAGATCCTAAACAGAAAGCGTAAGACGTTCCCAAGAAATCTGGAAGTTTTCAGTTTGTTTTTTTTATAAAAAATTATTTAGGATCCTATAAGATCTTACAGAAGATTCGATCTAAACCTGATAGGAACTTTTGACCAAAAAATGTCAAGTTTGGTTAGGATTATCGTACGATCTTCACAAGATCCTGCAGTAGAATTTTACGAAAATCTTAACAAAACTTGAAAATTTTTGGTCACAAGTCCCTATCAAGTTTCATCAGGATCCTATTTGGTCTTCCAGCACAATCTTGCTCAGATCTTAACAGGAAAGAGCAGGACCTTGATAAGAAAACTTCGAGTCTTTCATCAGGGTAATATTTGACGAGATCGAAAAATCAAAGCTACACCCATTCACGTCGATAGGAAGTCATCGATGGATTCAAATCGAACAAATGAACCCATGCAAATGTCGATCAGCGTGTTTGTCGTTCCCTTACTCACAAATCGATTACAGTCGACATTTGAATCTTAACACTCAATTTCGACGTTGATCTTCACTGATCGCAAGTATCTCAATCAACTCAAATGTTCGAATTAACTACTTTTCGCTGAGATAATGGTGCGACTCTCTCATACAGAGACTCATCGTTCTCAAATCAGCTCTTCTGCGACATTTTTTTCTTTTGACTGACGTTTTCGCTCGCTTCTTTTCTCGATGGAGATCAGATGATTCCAATCGATTTCATCCTTCAAAACGACAATCATGTTCAGAGTTTGTGCTTTCAGTGATTGATGCAACTCATTGATCTGCTGTCGAAATTGTTTGATAACGTCTTCGTTGTAGTTTTTGTCATTGTGCGCGGTACGAATTCGCTCTGTGAAAGTTTTAAACTGCTCTGTCAGTTTCTCCCTCGAGTTATGGATCAGATCAGTCAATTGTTGACGAGCTCTTTCGGCGGCTTCTTGAACTTTTATGATCTTTGCATTTTCCCATTGACCAATTTCGAGGAAAAGACGAATGAAAAAGCCATTCGATTGCTGTGCGTTGTGGATTTGTTCGAGTAGTCCATCATGAGATCCCACTACTTCATCATCGAACTGCTTCGACAGTTGTTGATGATGCTCGTTGAAATGTTTGACGCAAAAGAGCCTTTTACATCCCTCACAGTTGTATTGTGCTTCGTTCTTCTCGCACATCGAACATTGATTTGACGCCGTTGCTCTTGCCATCTCTGTAAATGAGGAGACGAGCGACAGTGTTTGATAAAATCTGGAAATAAATTTCCTGCAGCATGACAGCAGCTCACCTCATGTATCGAAGCAGAGATCAATGAGAAAGGCGTGAATAGAAAACCGTTGACGAAGTAGAGATGGCACTTTACTTTTACTTCACTAGTAAAAAGTAAAGTAAATGTGCCACTCCTATGATGAAGAAAGAGAAAAACACTCAATGCTATGACCACAGTCTTGTTTGTGAATAAAATGTTTGATTCTGTTCTTTGTGCTCGTGCGTATCTCTGATTCCGCTATGTTCTGTTCTCCCGTTCTTTTTCTCTCGACACCAACACAACAGGTTGAAGTAAGGTGAGTTGGCCATAAACGCACGTGGGACAAATTCAAAAATATGATGACATGTACAGTGTTAGAAATTCTAACATCACCAGAAAATTATTTGATTCATTTTCTACTTGCTCGTGATCTGTTAAATGGGATCCATTTGAGATTTTTCAAAGCGTCCTGAAATTCTGATTTGCTTCACTGTCATCACATGGAGAAAATAAGCGAATTTTGTTCAATGAAATTGTAGTATTATCGTTGTGGGTGGATGTGGGTGTGAGTATGCTATCGCCTCCTCATCTACACCCGTACTCACACCCACACCCACACCCACCATTGTTATTATATTCTCGTCATGGATATTCACCTCGATATTGCATTGGAACATGCGAAAAATAATCATTGAAATTCTATTTTGGTTAATTAGAATAATTATTCGAATATTGACAATTCTATTGTTGATTATATCGAAAATTTATTTATTGACTTTATTATAGATTTGGTGTCTTATTTGAGGTTATGGAAAAAACGGTGGTGAATTAATCGATGATGGAATAGAAGACATCGACAATCGACATATAGATCGAGCAAACAAATAATTTTTTTTTTTCTTTTAAACTTCATAAATAAAAAAAGAAAATTATTTTTATGTTTAATTAACGTTTTTAAAAAATTTTTCAAATAACATTTTCATTTTTAATCTTTGATTATTTCATGGAGATAATATCATATCAACAACGAAAGCAATTCGTCTAAAAAAACAAACAAACTATTGTCATTATAAGAGACCAACAAGACTATTCCACCATGACTAATCAAGAAAACTCTAATGGATTATTATTACTATATTAAAGAGACACTACACAATATTGATCATAGATATAGAACTAAAAGAATACTTTCAGTTTTTTCTTTTTATTTAAACTTACTAAAAATAGATAAAAGAAGAGCAGCAGGAAGAAACATTATATCAAATTGTAATCGATCAAGATTAATTATCTCAAGTATAATAATAAGATCAGCAAATACATTAACTATCAAATATATTATTTCTAATGATTGACTACTTTGAATAAAACCTTTTAAAATAAATAAATAAATAAAATATATTAACGAAATAAATTTCTACCTGGTTTTCCTCTAGGAAATCTCCAAGAAGTTATATTTGATTTAAAATCTCTTATCAGACCATTGATTACAAAGATCTGATGTTCGCATATGACAAACTCTTCAAAGACCAAAACGAATTGGAAAAGCAACATATTTTATCGATGAATTTCCTCGAAATGAAACTAAATTAATAATAAGATAAGATAATATAATAATAACTAATAATAAAACTCGTCGAAGATCAGTTATTGGAAATAAAACCATTTCTATTTATTATTTTATAGATTGTCAATTGATCTGTATCGGTTTTTTAACCTTAATATGAATGTAGTAGATAACAGAGAAATATATTTTGTATGTTGACACATTCAATATCACGTTTTTCTTATTGACGGTAGAAGAATAAAATTTATTCTCTCATATGACATAAATTTATTTTCGTTTGTTTTAAATAAGTAAATAAAATATTTCTATTAGAATAATTGAAGAAAAAAAAGCAAAAAATTCAAATTAAAAATCGATTGACTACAATGAAAAGATGTGTGTTTCTATAAATTCGATTGTTGTTGTTGTTTTCTCCTTTGCCGTAAATAAAGATGCAGAGGCGTCACGTATTTAATCATGGTCTTTTTATCGCGTATGTATTTTCTTTTTTTTTTCTAGAAGACTCGTTTATTTGCTTGATTAACAATAAAATGGCGACACGGCAGTGGCACATTTTTCAAAAAAAATCACCGCGACAGCAGCAGTATTTTTTTCTATGACATTGAGAAAGTGCATAAGTTTAATAGAATTTCAGCATTTACAAATGAAACACCCTGAGATTGAATCAATCTGATGGATTAGGGGGTGGGTGTGGGTGTGAGTATAGTTTATCTGTTACCCACACCCCACCCACCTTCAGTGGCACAGAACCGAGCTCCGCAGACTCATTGAGTCATCTCTCGCGTGGAAGGGACGTGAATGATTTCAGTATGTCGCGTACGTACATGAGCTTTACGCTCGTCACGGCTTCACCAGAATGGTTCCTGGCTGCGCGCCCATGCGTGCAAATAGAATTTAACTAAATTCCTTTTCATTCAGTAGCGATTTTTTTAAAAGAGAAAAAGAACCAAGCAAAAACTTAATCATCGTACTGAGTTTATTTGATATTCAATTTTTGTACTCGATGATTGCCCTGATCGACGACATCGAGATTGCCATGCCGATCGAATGATAAACCATAGGGATAGCTGAGTTGATTCGATTGTGCTCCAGAACCGTTTCCACCAGCAATGACACTTCCCTGTATGGCTCCTTTTGGCCAACGCATGATTCGATGATTGTCTCTATCAACCACATAGACAGTACTCAATTGATCGACAACGACTCCTCGAGGACATGACAATTGTGTAAGACTATTTCCTTGTCCTTGACTACCGGCTACGACAATGCCTTGTTTTGCACCTTCTTCCCATTTCATCACACGATGATTTCCATTCTCAGATACGTACACTGAATGGTCTCGATCAACAAATACATAGTAGGGACTAGAGAGTTGATCGAGACGATTTCCTTTTCCATTACCACCTGCAACCACCGTTCCTTCAGTGTCACCAATTTTATATCGTCTCACCTCACATTTTCCATAGTCAGCTACATAGAGAGATCCATTCTCATCCATAGTCAAACCAATGCAAGAAATGTTCGAAATGATAGTTTCTCCACTAGTACCATTTTTACGAGGCCAACGAACTACTCTTCTATTCGAATAATCGGATATAATGAGACTATCTCTCTCTTTGTCGATAATCACATCGTATGGGTAGTTTAACTGATGAGCTTCATTTCCACTTCCATTTCCACCGGCAACCACTTGACCATTCGTTGCATCACATTTCCATTCCACAATACGATGATTGCACTGATCAGCGACATAAATCGTTTGATCATCATCGACAAACAAACCACATGGGAGATTGAGTTGATCGATTCCACTGCTTTGTCCATTTCCTCCAGCAACAATGAGACCATTCTGTCTCCATTTTGCATTTGATTGAATATCAATCGCACTGGCACGTAGTGGTGCTGAAATGAAACAAAAGTATGGAGTAGAAATAAACGTCGATTTCATTGAAATGAGACGCTCATTTGTTTTGAACAGTACTGAACTGCTCTCAATTACAAAAATAATTATCTGGTTTTCAAGTTTAAAACAATGTACTTGATGTTCAATTCAAAGTTATTCATGTGAATTGTTTTTGATCAGCTATCAATCATTTCTAAATCAGAGCAGAGCAGAGAACAGGGAAGGACAGTAAGAATCCTTATTTTGGCTTCTGGTCACCGAAATACTTAGATCCGACCAAAAGTTCTGGCAGCATTACTGATGGTTACACATATTATAAATCTATTTTAGGTTGAGTTCTTATATATGGTTTCAGATAAAAATCTAATGCCAAATGAAAATTTTTCTTTTTCTAAATAAATAATGAATTTGACCGATAAATATATGAAAATCGGAATTATTTTTGAAACAGATACAAAGACAATTCATGAGGAGTTTGCAACCCAGTGACTTAGAAAAAAGATTGTATAAAAAATTTTTGTGTTTCTAGTAGTTATTTCATAAACATAGAAATCATTCCATTAATTTGATAATTTGTGCATGTTTTTCATTTCATGAAATCGATCATTTAAAAGAAAATTAAAAAAGAGACCATATTATTTTTGTTACTTTGATCAAATCTTTATTTCGCGATTTTTCTTATTCGGAACAATACAAATCATCACATTAGTTTAGCTTGTTTTGCATCATATTCATTAGATGATTCTCATTGTTTTCAGAAACTGCATTCAACACATGGCTTTCATTATGTAATTTCGCGAAAGAAAAGTTATTCATTTACATTGATTAATTTTGCATTTCAAACATTTAATTTTAATCGTTTTTCAAACGATAAAGAATTTGTATCCCTATTTCAAATAAAAAAAATGGTTTTAATCGATGTCTTTCATGTGAAATACATCAAGTGTCACGATTTTTCTTACAAATTAATTATGAAAGTGATGAATTTGAATGCAATTTATAAATTATAGTTCTTATACATACCACTCTTTAAAAAATGGAATGTGTGAGGGCAGAAAACACGTCGTGCTCTGCTATTTCTTTAGTTGTTAAGTATTTTTAACACTCTATTTATATGTTCATTTTTTACGTCACTGAATGGGACGTGACGCTTCCTCATATCAAACATTGAAGTAGTCCAAAAGTTATCAACAGTTATCCATATTTAACTTAGGATGATATTATAACCTAAGATTTGTCTCTTTCATGATACAAAAGTACGAATTATCTACGATTGCCTAAAGATGAGAACAGTGAAATCACGTAGGATACCACCTCATCGATACAATGATGAACACAGCAAGAAGGAATTTATAGTTTGTTGTGAAAATTTGGCGAAACTTCATGATGGATCATGGCGCTTTTTATATTACTATTACAAGTGATTAAGCCTATCACCAATGAAATACGAAAACAAAAGAAGTCATCAAGTAGAAAAAGTATAAAATAACTTTTCACTGTTTGCACTAGATCTTCAATCATGTGATTTCTTTTTACTTTTATTTAATGTTGACAGAACTGTTGGTCAACTCGTAGTAACCGGCCTTAAAGAATTAATAACCCATTCATCAGAAGAAATAAATCTTTAAAAACAAATGAACTTATGAGATTTGATCATCATTATCTTAGCATATGATAACGAAAATGATACCAAGAAGAAGAAAAGACACTGTCCCAACATCAGTGGTAGTGTGGGTTCTCTTATCTTCTTGGAAAGAATGAGCGAGTTATGATAGAGTTTGAATGTAAGTAAAAAGTAATCGGAATGTTTAACATGTATGACTGACGAATACTCAACAAACAAGAATTTTGTTTCAATTTTTCACCGAAAATTGATATGTTCTTGGAAAATAAAATCATTCTCTTGTTCTAAAAGACGAATTGATTGTCTTTTTCTTATGCAGTGCGCTCATTTGAGTATGTTATTTTGAAAAGTATCTGGCAATGATAATCTTCATTTAATTGAAATCATATTATCATTTGAAGACGACAATATCAATTTCGAATGTGTGGATAAAGGAAAACGTACATCTCAAATAATTAGTACTTTTTTCTTCTATTACAAGTCAATATGGTCGAATCTAGAAATCTGAATAATTTCTTTTCATAATTCAGGCAAATAGGTTTTTTTAAATACTGAAACTCATTGTTTCAAAAATGATGAAGGTTTGATTTCTGAATTTTTCACATATTAAAATTTGAATGTCAAATTCAATTCTTATCGAAATTTGTGAAAAAGAGTTTTTATTTCAACAGCGATAAAGAATTCTTTGAACTATTCTCGATCGAAATCTTCAACTGAGAATTCTACGTATTTTTTTTTCATTCCAGAATTCCTATATAGTTCTTTAAGTAACTGAATTGACAACCATAGAGTATCGATTGCTTCAATTTCTATTTATGAATTGATGAGAAAACTTATTTAGATGAACAATCGTTTCCAAACTTCCTCTTGATGATATTTGTTCTTGAGATATTTTGTCATATTGAGTAGCTATAATGTGCATTGAATGTTTAATGAGAACATTCGAACGCATAATTCGGAAATACAATACTTTGAAATTTTTCAATAGGATATTCAACTGAATAAATGTTCTTATTGTACTTGTCCTTCAGCATAAAACATCAATTTACACAGATCAATTGTACGACAAATACTACGCTTGCTATTTTTGTATCAAATCTTCAAGCTTTTACTACTTTAGAGAAACTAATGTTAGTGTAAAACACATTTGAAGTTACAATGCAGAGCTAATCATTCGACTTTTTTTCATTTTCAGCTTGAACAAATAAGTTTTGAATCATCAACGACAAAAAATATTTCTATTGCTTCCTAAAATGGTGTGGGTGCGAACTTATTCGTTGGAGAATTTCTTTTCTACATTTTTAGTGTAATATACTCACAGTTTAGTTGTTGCTGTCGAATATAAATGAGTCGATTCCAATCAATTTCATCGTTGTTAGCAATAATGGTTTTATTTGTATCTTTTTCAGTAAATTGTTTAAGTTTTTGTTGTATTTCATTGATTTTTTGTCTAAGTCGATCAATATCATTTTCAACGATATTTTCTTCTTCTTGAAGACAACGAATTTCTTTTGTCATTGGTTCAAGTTGTTTTATTATTGTTATTCTTTGTTTTTCTATTAATTCAATAAGTTCATGTTGAGTTTTTTCTGCTGCTCTTTTTACTTTGTTGATTGTTGCATTTTTCCATTGTTCAATTTGATCAAAGAGATTCAATGATAAATAATTTGATTTTTCTAATTTTTGTATTTGTTCAAGAAGTTCATCATGAGATCTCACTATTTCATTATCGAATTTTATCGATAATTGTTGTTCATGTTCTTTGAAATCCTTTCGACAGAAGTATTTTTTGCATCCAATACAGAAGCATTTAGCTGAAGGTTTATTGCAAACTGAACATAAGTTTGATTCATTTTCTGTTGTCATTTCTTTTGAAAGAAAATCACTCAAATTATAGAATTTATTCTGTGCATATCTCGATCTAAAATGAATTGATAGGTATATGATAAAGAAAAAATTAATTTTAAATGATTTACTCAATATTCTTCGTTTGCGATTCGAATCGAATATCGTTCAGTTATCTCAAATATGAGTTAATTTGTGTGTAATAAAAACAATCGGAATAAGATTATATCAATTTTCAATAGATTTCTATGATTATTGATTAATAACTATGAAAATCTTGATCGAATTCGATAATCTTAAGTAACTCATAAATTCTTTTGAAATGAATCTATTCATGTTGATAGAAGTCTGAATTCGATGAAAATATATCCAAGTTTAGCATTCGAATTTTTCTATGAAGGACAATGACGTTTTTAATAAGTCAAAAGTCATTTTTATTCAGTTAAAAATGTATAATAAACGAGATTGAAAATTGCAACAATTTTCCTAATGATACATATTTTTTCGATACCGAAAGACTTTTGAAAAACTGTTTCGTATATTTTTTATCAAAGGTCACTTAATATATTGATGAATTGTACGACAACATTTGGAAACATGTGAATAAATGAAAAGTAAACAACACCTGTTCGAACATTCTTTTCTTAGAATTAATTTTTTTATTAGTCGTAGAAAAAAAGATGAAATATTTCGCGAGTTTTTTCCTCGGTATGTTAGAGTATGGGTGTAGATCAATTTTTAGGCTACATCTACACTCTTGTTCGCTATATTCAAATTATTTTTCAACAAATAAATACAAACCAATACATAAGCATATTGGATAATAGAAAACTCTAAACACCATGACAATATGTAGTAGTTACTTTAGTAAAAAAGTATTTCTACATGACAATGGCAAAATGAACTCTGTAGAAATTTGGTGATGAAGCTGCTTCCATTTCATTCGATTTATTTTCTCACACAATGAGAATACGTGACTATTTTTTTCTCAGATGCATATATTAATGAGTCTTTTTTCTCGTTTTCCTGAGTTTTCTTCATATGAACATGTAGTAATATAAATCATAAAAAGTAATCGATACGGAAGTGTCACAAATTCTCCTTGGAGAAATATCAATTTCTGTTAGAATAAACTTAAGTTGATTTGTCTTGTTTTAAATAAAAGAAAAAATGGAAATGTTTGACAAAAATCAACACTAATTCATATTGCATCAATTGCAATTTCATATGAAAATCGTTTTCAAATCTACAAGAATCTAAGGATGTGAGTGTAGGTTTGATGTATGACTATTTATCTGGAGAGAGGCACGAGCTCCAGTGAAACTGAAAACTCATACTCACATCTATTCTTAATGCAAAGACTAGCTCGACTAGATGTGTTGTTCAAGGTATGTAAAATAAAAAACAAAAGTTCTTTTTCTTAGCTAGAGATTCGAAACTTTTGTGTACGTTTTTCCAACGATTCAATCATAGTGATAGAACACACAATTTGAAATGTTGAAATTTTCTTCTACTTTTTCAACGTAAAAGTTAATATTTTCGTCTACTTTTTTCTTTGACTAAAAATGAAAAAATT